AAGACTTTTCTTAATATTCATGAAATCAAAATGGGTACGTTATTTGGGATGGAGGGAGCATCAAAATTTGTCCGTCTTAAAAACACATGAAAAGAAAAGAAGCAAAAGAGAACTTAGTACTTACCCCCTACACATACTAGTATAAGTGAACTCCATCCCTGGAAAAAAAGCAAGGCCTCGTTTGGAATCTGAAGAATATTCGATGCAGAAAACTTGGGGAAAATTGATTTGAACTCAATAAAATGATTTTAGATATTTGTTCGGACCGGACACAAAGATCTTCAGAAATTCGGATAAAATCACATTTAGAACCTGGGGACTAGTGAGGGATGGAAATATACTGCAAGACCTCGTTTGGTTAAGGTAACATTTTGCCCTCTTTTTCTCTCTCCCATTTTGGAAAAGAAATACTTTCCCTTTTAAACAAATTGTAATAACCCACTTTTCACTTTTCTATATCTTTTCAACATCTTATCAAGACTTTTCTTAATATCCATGAAATCAAAATGGGTGGGTTATTTTGGGATGGAGGGAGCATCAAAATTTGCCCGTCTTAAAAACACATGAAAAGAAAAGAAGCAAAAGAGAACTTAATACTTACGTAAAGCAAGCGTTTTCCCAATCTTCGCGTTTCTGAATGGAAGTGAAAAGATCAACAACCATCACACCCATTTCCTTGCATAGTTCTATACAGGCTTGAGAGTATTTGTTGCACAGATCATTGTTTCGAACGAGCTCACTGAATATTGAGCTATTTGAAAGACATCGTTGTTAAAATGAAAAAAGAAGGTTAAAGATTGTGCTATTTAAAAGACAATTGTTTTGGAACAACTCAAAAAGGAAAGCAAGAAGTTCTTTTAGGGATGGAAGGAGTATAAGAATACCTTGTGTTCTCTTTCACTTTGGCTTCATTGACAGGGGGGCAAGTAAGAAAGATTATTCGAGTTTCATCTGAAAGGCTCTGATTCACATAACAAAAAAATTGTCTACTAAGTGAAATAGTGACAGAATGCTGAATGTTTGTTATGTTTCCATAAAATATGATTGAAAAAAAAGGCATATTCTTTGCTCCACAATAAAATACCTTAATATGAAGTGCTATTTTTCTCATGTTTTCAACATATTCTCGGAGAGGAACATGAGGACCAAGCCCGGATGAATGGGGTCCCATTGAGTCATTGCCACCAAAATAAACGATCACCAGTGAAGGCTGAACTGCAGCATCCTGCAATGCAACCACCACAAATGCTGTGATTCTATATGGAAACGAAACATAGTAAAGCATAAGCCTTTTGTTAAGTAGTACCCAAGTGTGTGATAAACTTCGCATTTTGATGATTTTTTTGTGCAAGTTGCATTCAATTTGACATGGTTTCAGAATATGGTCTAAAGGTGGTTTGAGGACCTCCTCCCCTCCCCCTAAAGCGGACAATATCAAACTAATGTGTAGTTGGAATGAAGTTAGTAGATTCTACATGAATGGGAGTTGGTTATGGACCAATTTGTCTCAATTCGGTTGTCCAGTTCCACCTGGGTTGGGCTAAAGAGGACGTCTTGAGTATACAACATTGGGTTTCTAGTCTTTTAGGCCCAATTTAACAACTTTATGCTTTATCCACATTGCTATTCTAAAGGGGTAAATCCGGAAAGGGAAAAGAGAGATGCCAAATGCTTAGGCAGGGACTTTTTATAACATAAATCCAGATAAATAACAATATGATTAAGGTCTTGTTTGGGAACAACGTCTTCAATTAGCGTTAGCGTTTTAGATAATTTTAATGTTACAGATTAACTTTGAAAACATTAAAGCTAAACATTGTCATTAGATAACCTTGTCAAAACGCTAAAGATGTTGCCAAACAACCACTAAACAGTATTTCAAGGAGCAGCAAGACAATACCTTAGGAAAAACTTGATCAAGGACTCGAACAGCACGTCTCGAGTTCCAACCATAGTAACCTCTCAATAATATGTCTGCCTACAAGAAACCATTAAAAGAGAAAGTGATATTTTTGAGCTTGAAGTTGAGGCGGCCCAAGAAGCTCACTTTATTGATTAGAGTGTAATACTACGTATATTAAAGATCAACTAAGAACCATGTACTAGCTTTCTAAATAAAACACAAAAGTCTTGGGACTACAGGGGTATTTCGTAGAGAATATTCTCTTCGTCCGACAAAAAAATCTTACTTTCCCTTTTAGAATGTCCAAAAAAACTTCACTTTAATTTCCTTTGAACATGTGGCTCAAAAATTCTCTCATCGAAACAAATTCTGACATATTTTTAACATTTCAATATTTTTAAAACTTTATAAAAGACAAAGTAATTTTTTTTTTGGTGAAAATATCAAAAGTAGAAAATACAAATTAAACTATTCATAAAAGAGTAGTGATTCGGCGGTCCTAAGGTCACCGTGGTCAGTGGACTTACTCACATAATCTATATTTGGTGGGCTCAAAATCTAGCAAGGACCCATCAACATTGCAAAAGGTTAAAGTTACAAATAAGGTCCACAAAATCAAGGTGGAAGGTCCATCAAAGTATTCATTTTGCCCAAATGCAATTTGCTATGGAAAATTCTTTTGTGGTCTTTAGGTCCATACTTATTTTATGGACCTTGAAACGTGAAATGGTTAAACGTATTGAGCCTTGTAAACGCGAGAGATCGAACTATCAGTCCACAAAAAATATGTTAGAAAGTCCACATTGCACATGTGGACCTTAGGACCATGATTGCACAACTCATTTGCTAGTAGGGCCACAACAGTTTTGGAACTCTCCCCTCTGTCGTTTTAGTCTTTTTTTTTCAAAAATCTTGTAAAAGAACTGTTTTTTTCCTTCTTTTTTTTCTAATAAAAAATATGGAACTAAATCATGGAAAATATACATATTCCCACCGGCCACCCCAAGCAAATCATATGGTACATCCAGTTGTACTTTCCTCTTGGTACATCTTGGCAAACTTGTAATAAAAAAAATGTTTTAAAATCACCACTATGTTGCTTCAGAATAATAACTGTGTTGCTTCAAAATGAACATGTTTCAGAATATACTCTTTGTTGAGCTGGCTTCTGAATGAACACTATGGTTGAAATTGAACATTATGTTCATTGAAAATGGATATTCTGTTGATTCGAAATGAATATTCGCCGGGTGAACTTATCTCTACGTACAACCGGGTGTACTGTATACATCCTCGCCTCCCTAACAGCTAAATTTTTTTTATTAAAGATGATTAAGGTTGGCTAAGTTGTGGGATTCAACTGAGTTGTTGTTGTTGTAAGGTTTGCTAAGTCTCAAAACGACCACGTCTGCAAGTGAGTATTGAGTTTTCTAAATTGGTTAGTGATTCGAACTCGTGAGCTCTTGATCAATTCAATAATACTTTGATACCATAAACCGAGTGGGTGAGATTGTAGGCTGTTTTATGTTCTAACAAAATATTTATGCACAAAAAACAACAATAAACATGAATTTAAGAAGCATCAACCAAACACATCGAAAGGAGATTTTGGGAAGTTCGTACTTTACGGGCGTAAACGTCTGCGAGAATCGCACCCCAGCCGCCGTTACTGTAGCTGATCTGAACAATCGACGATCCGAACAGCACGAACTGCGGCCTCAGTGGCCCCACCATTTGCGTCGAAGGCGGCGAAGCTTCGCCGAGCGGCGGAATCGTCGCAGCCACCGTCGGCGACGGAGCAATTAGTCTGGCGTCAAAAAGTAAGCTGGTGGATTTTTCGTTGAAGATTGGAAATTGAGTGCCAATTTAAGCATTGTGTACTTTTTTTCGCGTTGGTTGAGCAGTTGAGCTGCCACTCTTGGGCTATTAATTTTTGTTATTAACTCTTTTTCGTATTTTGATTCTTCCCTTTTTTTTGAACGGTTCTTCTTTTATTTTTTTTTTGTTTTCAAGAAAAAAATATATTTATGCTAAATATATAATAGAAAAGTCTAATTTTCAAAAAAATAAATTTATTTTTTTATTGATGTATTAATTTTTAAATAAAATGATTTCAAAAGACGACAAAATTTGTCTCGTAACTCTCAATTTGCAATCAAATTAGTGACGAAGGGAGTATTTCTTTTAAAATTATTTTATTTATAAATTGGTAGAGAAATAAAAAGAGTAGTACTATTTGTACCCAAGATTTATACCCCAATTTGTACACTGCAGGTGTGCACTTACATTTTGTTTCAGTGTAATGTTAGGCTGATAGTTCACACAGATACAATATGTTAGTGCAGATTTTTGTTAACATGCCAACATTTTGTGTCAGTGTGAACAATCAAAATGTTAGTGTATACTTTTTGTGTAACTTTGGCGTACACTTTTTGGTGCAAGTATAGCATGGTTGAAATAAAAATTAAAAAGTACACCATTCAAAAAAATTTAAAATTATATTTATAAAAATAAATGCGACGAGAATATTTAATTTATCAAATGGTCAAAAGTTATTGAGAGACAGAAATAATAGCCGTGACATTCTTTTTTAGACGGTGAGAGTAATTTCTTTTAGGGTCATGCTAGGGTGCCACCACATGGGTGCACCCATAGTAGCACCCATGTGGTGGCACCCTAACATTTTCCTTAGGGCTGGGTCGGAAAAACCGAAAACCGAAAACCGAACCGAAATCAATCGAAACGAGCTAGAAAAAAAACCGAACCGAAAAAATCGAAACCGAATGTAAAAAAACCGAACCGAACCGCTATTGTTTGGTTCCGTTTTGGTTTTTACTTTGAAAAACCGAACCGAACCGAATAAACCGAACTTATTTATATGCTTCTTTTTTATGTATATGAGTATATGTGATATGTATAAAAATCATACGGAGTATAAACAAACATGCAAATATATTACTAGTTGATTAAAGTTTTTTAATTAACTATTAATTAAACATTTTAACCATGTTATAAACTTTAAAAAGTCTAAGATATAAATACCAATAACTAATCCTAATATAGAATTATATAACATTAAAAATTAATATGAGTAGTTAACATATTTACATAAAAAAAACTTTGATGTTATAATGTAAATAAAAGTATTATATAAAAAAAACATAAATTCTCTGTAGTTGATTTTACATACGATATCTTTAGGACTATTTGGAATCTCTTAGATGTTTTTTAGGCACTTGACACATATTTTGTATGTAAAATTGAACCGAATAGAACACTAACCTTCCGTTCGGCATTTTTTTTTGTGTAAAAATCAAGCAAAAAAACCAAACTCAAACTTACGTATTGTTATTGTTTCGTCGAGTTAGTATTTAGACAATTTTTAATGCTTATAAGTATTTACTTTTATAAACCGAAAAAACCGAAAAAAACCAAAATAAAAACCGCATAAAACCGAACCGAATAACCAACGGTTTACATATTTTTTATGCAAAACCGAACCGAACCAAACCGTCAATTTACCTTCCGTTTTGTCTTTGGTTTTGGGTAAAAACCGAACCGCCAAAACCGAACCCACCCCTAATTTTCCTTTCTTTTATGGAACTTGGGCTGTGTTTTGTAGGATATGATCTTTTAATAACATCTCTTCCGTCGATCAGCCAGACCAAATCACTTGGTTCGGACTTCGGACCTGTGGCGCGAAACTTAGATTCGGAATTGGTTTCTTATTTTACCCTTGTTTGTTATCTAAGTTGTTTAGGTTTCCTTGTTTGTGTTACGTATTTTATGCCCATTAGAATATGGAGTTTTCCTTCTCTATATAAAGGGGCACATTTAATATAATTCTCTTCAACAATTTTCCTCGCTTAGGGTTCGCTGATATGTCTTCTTCAACGGTTTTAGAAGTTATGCGTGGGCGCCACGAAGAAATCGAGCGATTAGAGCGGAGTATCGTGAAGGAACTCCAGATGGAGCCGGCCGCCGCCGGCGGACTCCACCGTGTTCGAGCCATGATAAAACGAATCATGGAAGTCACCAACAAACTTGTTGCAGCTTACGAGGACAGTGACGGTAGTATGAAGTATGAAATTGAAGCTCTAGGAGGTACTAATTACAACAGCAATAATAATAATAATAATAATAATAATTATAATAATGATGATGATGATGATTGATGATTTGTTGTTCACCGCATTCTACAGCAGGTTAAATGGAATCCTTCAGAATTACCATCCCTGCCCCCCTCCCGAGCCTGATCGTTTCCCTGTCGATGATGATGTTTATGATCCTGACATTGATTTCAGTGGGGAGGAAGCATCGGGACGATACCTTGATTTGCACGAATTGTTTCGGGAGTATGTTAACTCAATGTTTGGGGAGCGAATCGGTTATTCTGCTTACATTGGTGTTTTTTCACGACCACATGAGGTGATACCTCTCAATCTGAGGCTGTCCAAAGAGGGGCAGTACAAGCAGTACGTACCTGCAGAAATTATTGGCCTACCTCGTACACTTCATCGAGCGGACCGAGCCTTTGCAAGACATTGACGCGATCCTCTCAAGACTCGCAACTGAATTCGAAGAGCAATGGGCCTCCAATGTTAGTCAAGTAATTGTACGTCTTGAAGAGTATGCTACGGTTGAAGAATTGAGGATGAAAGTAAGGCCAGATGGCTGAACAAATGGGGACCTGATCTTGAAGAGGAGTATGAAGATCAAGAGGGTAACATTTACAACAAAAAGACATTCGCCGATCTGCAGCGCCAGGGTCTGATTTAATCAGGGAATTCAAATGTAATGTATCTATATATGGTTTTCTTCTCTAAATGTCTCACAATATGAGTTGCTTTCTTTTACCTTTTAGGGAAAAGAACCAAGGAATTGAATGACGGTCGTGTTTAATTTTGAATTGAGTGTATTTGGTTCCAGAGTCTTGAGGTTTTTTTGTGTGTGTGAACTTCTTTAAGTGCCCGAAATTTAATTCTTGTCTTTGCCTTCCAATGCAACTTTGGTTTGGTTTCACAGATCCTTCTATCGGTGTGTATTCGGCTGTAGTTATATTACATTTTGAAGCATTTTACACGTTCGCAGGTTGTTGGAGTTCCAATAACAACAAATGGAGATCTTCAGAACCGGTTTGTAGAGACAAATGTTGGTTTAGATACTATATGCAAGGTACTTCTAGATATTTGTCATGTCACGAGAGGTTTTGATGACTTACAGAACCGTGTTTCACATAGACATTGCTACATGTATTACATTACATTAATATTTTTAAATAACCATATAAGATGCGTGCTCGGTTTTTATCTATAGATACAACAATAACAAGAGAGCTGCTGATTAATCATATTTTTTTACTTTTGTGTTTTTGTCACAGGTGAATTCCCAGCTCATTAACGTCTGCACAGATCAGCGGAGAAGTTAAGGATTACAAGTAATGTTACTTTGGGATGAACATGGTTAAAAAACACTTTCATAGCTTTATGTTTCAATAAACCAAACACGGTTTTAGAGACTCATATCTCATTTGTTGGAGTAAATGATTCCCATTTGTTGTCTTATGCCATGGTTAAACAAGGCATGCATTGTTTTCCTTTAAATTGTGCCTTTTAGTTACAAACTCACTGACTAATGTTCTGATCCAGATAAATACCATGGTGATATCCTATTGCCCAAGGGTCTTATTGAAAGTGGAACTCGTGATCGGGTCTACTCTATGTACATCCGGGTGTACGGTATACATCCTCGCCTCACTAACAACTAATTTTTATATTAAAAACATTAAGGTTCGCTAAGTTGTGGGATTCAACTGGGTTGTTGTTGTTGTTGTTTACGGTTTGCTAAGTCTGAGAACGACCACGTCTGCAAGTGAATATTGATTTCTCTAAATTGGTTAGTGATTCGGACTGATCAATTCAATAATACTTTGATAACCATAAACCAAGTGGGTGAGATTGTAGGCTGTTTTATGTTCTAACAAAATATTTATGCACAAAAAATAACAATAAACATGAATTTAAGAGGGGGCGAAGCTTCGCCGAGCGGCGGAATCGTTGCAGCCACCGTCGGCGACGGAGGAATTAGTCTGGCGTCAAAAAGTAAGCTGGTGGATTTTTCGTTGAAGATTGGAAATTGAGTGCCAATTTAAGCTTTGGTGTACTTTTTTTTCGCGTTGGTTGAGCAGTTGAGCTGCCACTCTTGGGCTATTAATTTTTGTTATCAACTCTTTTTCGTATTTTAATTCTTCCCCTATTTTTGAACGGTTCTTCTTTTTTTTTTGTTTTCAAGAAAATATTTTTCCTCTAATTTTTTTTAAATGACTAATATATTCGGATAAAGTGAATGTAATATACTTCATTCACGGAGTATATAATAAGTTATTTAAATTATTTATCTCTTTTTTACGCTAAATATGTAATAGAAAAGTCTAATTACAAAAATAAAATTATCAAAAGTCAAAATAAGAACCGTTTTTGCATTAAGCTGGAGAAGAAATTTTTTTAATACTTTAATTCACGTAAAAAATGTTAAAGTTAACATTTATCATTCAAAATCCTTTTCAAAGCACTAATATTAATGTCAGATATACCAAAAATTGCTGCTAGATACTCATAGTTTTGTAGAAAAAACTCTCTATTCTGATCGTTTTTCAAAATAAACATTTGTGTATCCATAAAATATCTAAAAATTCACTCTAGAGAAACTTTCAATTCCGTCCATCCCTCCATCATACCAGCTTGTTGTGTTATCTTTTCATCTTCGTCCTAAAAAATTACTACTGGTACTCTAATATTGTGTAAAAACTTCTGGTATCATCATTTTTTAAAAATAACCCGGGTATCTTAAAATTTCTAAATACTTACTCCGATCCCAAGGTACATTATTATTATTATTATTATTATTATTATTATTATTATTATTATTATTATTATTATTATTATTATTATTATCATTGGTTGAAGTTTATTTACTTTCTTTACTTATTAAGAATATAGTAATAATAACAACAACACTATAATTATAACAACAACAACAATAACAATTGCAATAAAAATAATACTCCCTCCGTCCTAAAAAATACTTTTCATTTGACTTTTCACAGTGTCCAATGCGGCACTTTGACCATTAATATCTCCATTTATATATGAATATATATTATCAAAATAATATATTTCAAAACTATGTTTCAAAATGAACCTATTGATACTAAATTTATATGAAAATTCAATATATTTTTTCCGTAATATGCAGTCAAAGTTTAAAAACTTTGACGGCAAAAGTCAAAATGGGAAATTAATTTCAGGACGGAGGGAGTATAAAAAAAAGTAAATTCCATAAAAGATCCTCAATTATAGGTCATTTTACATATTTAGTCCCTACATATCAAATATTAATAATTTAGTCCTCAATTATTATATTTTTTTCCACAAATAGTCCTTTGTTAACATTTTTGTTAAGGACATCGATAAAATTATATATTCACACTCATCTCTCTTCAATTAAGCTTCCCCCGTCCTTTCATGCGCATTCACAAACTCATCATTGAGTTTGAAACTCTGAACCCAAAACCAAAACGATCACTCCTCTCTCATTTGTTCATCTTCCTGGTGGAATCCAAAATCAAAACCAATAACCTTCATGGATGAATTTTATGGGTTAGTCTCAAGAAATTGCAAAGAAAACAAACCTTAAAACTCATCTATTAAGGTTCCTACTTTCGATTTTGGATTCCACCACGAAGACGAACAATTGAGAGAAGAGTGATGATTTTGATTTTGGGTTCAAAGCTTCAAACTCAACGACGCGTTTGGAAAAAGAGTGCGAGGGGAGGGAGGAAGTTTAATTGAGGAGAGAGAGAAGTGTGAATTTACAATTTTATCCATGCTTTTAACGGAAATATTAATAAAGAATAATTCGTAGAAAACAATATAACAATTGGGGCTAAAATTATTGATATTTGATATGTAGGGACTAAATATATAAATTGAACTATAATTGGTGACCTTTTATAGAATTTACTCTATAAAAAATATAGAGTACTCAACTTAAAATCAAACAAAAAATTCATTTTTTTCTAATTCGTGATGATTTGGTCCATTAAAAGTGGTGTACATTTTTTGCCGCACAGTGCCACTATCCAATGTTAGTCGATACTACAATGCCAAATATGTTAATGCATGTGGACAAATATAACAATGCATAATGCTAAGCATGTCAATACAATGAAATATCAAGCAATAATGTGATTTGGCAATAGATATTTTCAACCGATCTAACTAGAAGATGAACACTGCGTATAAATTTCGTCAATTTTTTCATGTTCACAACAAAAAATGATGCTCCATAATTTTTTCATGTTCTAACTGACATAAATCTTTTTTATTCCGTAATTCTTATTAACAAAAAAGATACAAGTTTGTTATAGAATTAAAAAAAATACTACCTCCGTCCCACTGTCGTTGTCCACATTTGACTTTTGGAACTGTTCATCTAAGCACTTTGACTCATCAAATTTTCTCAATGTGTAAGCCTAAAAATAGTCATGTGTGATCTTGTTTGATTCGTCTTAACATATAGATTATTAATATATAATTTCTATAATTTTTTAATATACAAATTACAAGATAAAATGGATTAAAGAAGTGCATTGGATGATGTGCCAAAAAGTAAGTGGACAAAGACAGTGGACGGAAGGAGTATATGAATTCTATAGACCTCAGATCCAAGATAATAAAAAAAATCCATTATAATCAAACATTAAAACTTGTCTAGCTAATTAGTGCTAATAGTTCCACATAGAATATACCTTAGCAAAAAAAATCAACTCTCCAACCAATTTGTGAGAAAGCATCACAATCAGTTCACCCAGCATTAATAAGACTGCTAAAAATTGGTGCCTTCTTTATGGAGGAGAAGTTTTATCCACTCAAACAACTACTTTCACGTCCTAGAGACATCACCCCATTCAATTTGTCCCAAAATATCACAGTCGTAGATATATCTGTCCCTTCGTCCCTAAATGAATTGCTCTCTCCGAATTACGTAAATAAAATTGAACGTATTTTAAATAATTTTATTTATAATAAAAATAAAAACGAAAACAAAATATTTAAATATTACATCCAAACTCTTGAAATATGTTAAAAATGTTGGGGCTATAACTCTGACCGACAACAACCCAGTTGAATTTTAGAAAAGTAAAGTTTGGGAAGGATGTATGTACGCATACCTTACCTCTACTCAAAGTAAAGAGGTTGTTTCCCAAGAGACCTTGGGCTCGAACACGTACGAAGCATGACACCATAGAGCAGAATATTTTGTCTGTCTAACCAAACAAGACAAATATAAACCCAAATATTTCAACATTGGAAGACATCAAAGCATCAACTCATCAAGCAAAACACAAAGCATTTTAGGAACATATTACAAAAAGAAGTAAAAAAGAGAGAAAACTCAGCTGCATGCCCATAGGGCTGTTCATGTTTGGCTTGAACTTTATTGTTGTACTAACAAGGAAAACCCTTCTCCTTCTCATGTCTCCATTCTCAAGAAAATATACAATCCCTACCCTTCTTCAATGAAGTTCATGGGGGAAAAGGGTTCAAATTTAGTCTCATATGAGCTCACAAATGCATTCAAATAGTAATATAGACGCGCCTTTGACACATCTAATCAATGAAGAATTGTCGCACTCCAAAATCACTTCAAAATATGGAGCAATGGTTAATTAAGATCTTAATGACCACGCCAGGGATGACACTGCTAGCGCCTTAGAGACTAATTTCTCACAAACAATTATTGTCTGTGCGAGATTATCTCTAATGGTGTCATACGTGGGGCTTTACATTAGCATTATTCTTTGCACTTAAGTGATGGGACCTACACTCGAAACAATTCAAACACGGGTCCCATCAATTAAGTACAAACGTCAAACGGGGACACCTAAGTGAGTCCTCTCCATAGAAAGAAAGACTCCTCTCAAGGAATAGGTACCTGGGAATAAAGAATAACTATGTCTCAAGGTGGGGTTAGTGATACCCTAATGTCAATAACTTCCGAAGCTGCAGAAGCCAAACAGCTAATTGCATTCCACAAAGGCGGGCTTCAAGCAGAAGCTTCCGGAACCGGAAGTTGATCCGAGACAATAGTGAATTTTTCTCCAACTTTGATTCCAGAACTGCCTCAGACGAAACTCTCCCAATAATGAAAAATGTCTCAACAGAGGAACCCTGGGTCTGTGACAAAGCATGACAGACAGACACTCTCAGTATGTGAAAATGCTTCAGATAATAACAGGATGCTTAACGATACAAATCGAGCAAAGGGGGAACATTAACAATAATTTAAATTATATTTTGAGTTATATCTATAAATAGTCCTTGTACTTTTAAAATTTGCAAAATAGTCCACGTGGTCAAAGAATTTGTGCATAATTAGTCTTTCTTTCAGGAAAATGTGAAGCTCGTAGAAGACATAAAGAAGTTGATCTGATAAAACTGTCCTCATCTTTGTGGTTAAAGGCAAGGAATGGCCCTTTTCAGCTCTTATATCACACGATATTACCCTAGAATAAAGCAACTTGAAAAGCAGAATAATGTCGAGCTCATGTAGGACATTGTTCTACGTTCAAGAATATCACTCTTGAAGATATGAATAAGTCGTGAGACTTAAACCAAAAGATGGAAGATATTTTACTACCGTTCAAACTTACACAAATGAAACTTCATATTAATTTTTTTATTGTTACATGATTCACATCTTTGCATAATATACACGTGTTGTGCTTATTTCACAAATTCTCTAATTGAGGGACTGATTTTGCAATGATTCTTTGACCACAAGGGTTATTTTGCAACTTTTGAAAGTTCGAGGACTATTTACCCACTTATGAAAGACAACATGATTTTTTTTTGCAAAATAAAGTATTTAAATTATTTGCATGCCCCATTTGGTCCCTTCCATTTTTCTGTTAAGGGTTGGCACTGTCGACGGATGTCAAGGACCAAAAGGTGAACCATCAACTGAAATTCTATTAGTTAGATCTTGTTTGTATTGAGTTTAAAGTGCAAGATATCATGTTCATTATCACAAGGCTGGGGAATTCACAGCAAATCAAGGTGTTGTCTATATAAAAATTTAACAGAGGAATTCTAGCCAAGTCATACCAGCTCTCTATTAACTGCTCGTAGACAGTCATTTGTCTTCAGCATTAAAAGAATAACACGAGGCAATCTCCTTAGCAGCTCAGTAATTTGTGGGAAATATGAAGAAGCATACATCTGCAAAACAATATAAATTGTTGACGATCTTTCAATTGAAATCACAGTTCACCTCAACCACATGATTCATTAGGGTGATCGGGGTTCTGGGAGAGGGCTTTTGGAAAAGAAGGGACTGAAGGAGGGAATGAGTTATTTTTAATTATAAGAAAATTGTTCCTTTCATATGATTTTTTATATAATAGGAGATATAAAATGATAAATTAAAATCAGTCAGTCTTGATAATTCATTTGTTACCACAAAAAATATAATTCTCTTAATTGAAAAATAAAATATAACACCTTCCCTTCCTTCGCCTTCAAAATGCAACACCCAAGCATAGCCAAATAAAAAAAACTCGGCAAATTATTGCAAGGCACTCTTTTTTACGAAGTAAAATTTAACCAAAAAAATTTGTTTTGCTGAAAACAAAAGCTTATCAAAGAAGAGTTTGACCTGGATTTCTGAGCGCGCATAATCTGATCCTTGGACAACTAAATGATCGACAGAGGGGTCTACCACTTTATTCCAAGGTCTCACTGTAAGAATCCCAGCAAACAACGCATAAAGATCCTCGCCAGCACCCAGTTTTATACTGTTTTCCTTAATACCTTTGGCATCAGAGTTTACCAATGCCTACATTTAAAAACCATAAAGTTGGTAAGAACCGTAATAAAATATGAAGCAACCGATTATAGATGGATACACAGGTTGTGTTGGCCACTGCAATTCACCTTCCAGAGGGCAGCATAGTTTGTTCTTGTAGGGAAATCAAGTTCTTTGTATAAGCCATGGTCTAAAAGAACCAGTTGAGGCTTTCTCTTCCCTGTTAAAAAGAGATGGGGAAATATCATATAGTACAACAACAAAAAACTTTGAGTATATCAGAGTAAGGACTTAAGGGTTTACAAAAATTCAGTCAACAAATTTACTTTTATGCCGGAATAATTTTACTACAATTTCCAGCATATTAGTAAATTGCTTTTAAATGGATATCCATGTGTGTGTCAAGCGAAACAAGATCTCCGTGTAGTTTATGTAGACAATGAGAATGATTACGGAAGTAACACTTGTAAGTTCTCAATTAGGACATTGAAGAAAATAAGGTGCACTATTTAACATCACCAAAGGATAGCTATTATTTTGAGAGCAATTGAAAGGGAAAAGAAGCAAATAAAACAATATTTGGAGCCTAGAATGTGGTGAATGTGTGGGAACATAAAAAGTCTACAGATAACTAAATTAGGGGCATGGTACAAGTGGAACTTATTGAGGAAAAATTGACATAGAACATTTTTTTCATAGACATCACGGGGAAAGAAAAGGTGAAGAGTGTAGGCCATATCTTGCTGACACTGAAGTTAGGGTAAATGGAGAAATCAGTACCACAAATCATATTGAAGAGCAAATTGGTCTCTTTCAACTTGTTTACCGTAGTCTCTCAAGATTTACACATCCATTTGAAAATTGTCTTCCACTGACATGGGCAGCATCTTGTAAAAAAAGGCCCCTAACTCACAGAACATGAAGTCTTATTCCTTACACTCTATGTACTTAAACAACCCATAATGAAAATAATCAATCAACTATAATCAATAAGTTCCACACATTTTGCATCTCTACTTTTTATAGATAGGGGTAAGGTATGTGTACACCTACCACCCTTTGCAGACCCCACTTGTGGATTTTAGTGGGTTGTTGTCATCATCATGGTCCATGATAAGTGTGTTGAACTGTTGATTTCATAGTATCAAATTTGCAATGGGACATGGCTAACAATTATCTCAATTCAACGTTGTCTCATGATATTTTTATGCGAGTGTGAAAAGAAGCTATGATGATGATGGTTTTGGAAATTCATATCAATATTCCTTGGAAGGTTGCAACAGGAAGGGGATCCGGTGCAAACTGCCACGGTTATTTTAAATGAATTTATAGTGTCAACTTATTTTGGACAATTCTTTGTCACTATAAATCTCATGTCACTAACACCAATGTGGTTGGGATTAAGTTGTTGATTATAATGATGAAACCATTTTATTATATTAAATAAAGAAAAATATTCATGAAATTTAAATCATTGAACTATTACCATAGTAGATAAGTAGCAAAACTTTAATTTTCAAGTAAAAATGCAAAATATGAGTTCTGGTCTTGTTTTAAACTTTTAATCCAAATGGTGATGGTTATATTTGTTTTAAATTTCCTCATAACTTTCAGCTTTTACTTGGAGACAAACATTTGAAAACACATTCCAATATTAAAATTCTAAGAGTACTTTTATCTAAAGCCGGAGTATGGTAGAAAATCAGTTTCTTATCAAATTACTAAAATCTTATTCTGTTTAATCATCTCACATCCAAAGTTGAGAGCAATTATCATATATTTTTGTGTGACTAAAACACTTGCTTGAATAAACTTGATATCATTTTGCAACTTTTTAACACTTAACCTTAAAGTAAAGGACCCTTTGATAAAGGAGCAAAAGATAAGGGGTCAATATTTGACCGTTGAAAGGCTGAAAACAATCTTAACACTATATGGAACAGGGGAGAAATTGAATCGTGTAGCTAATTTCCTAACTATACAAGATTAGCTAAAGTAAGCTAGAAAGTAAAACCTTTTAAAAATCCGCACAGACATAATTTATGAAAACAGGAAGCCAAGCATAGTTATTTTAAATATAAAACTACCGATTTGCTTACCAAAAAATGTCTTTTGGCTAGATGGCATGGGGCGTACTAGCATGTTTGCAGCATGGGGATCACAGTGCACAAATCCATGTTTGAACATCATTTCAGCAAAGACCTCACTAACCTGCACAAGGTGATATAAGCATTTTATTATTTAATATGGAGTACATAATATAGGAAAAAAGTGTGATGGGTTTACTGAGCAAAACTTCACAATTTCGACCAAAAACATTTAAGATACTCGACAAGAAAAACATAATCTAAGAAAAAAGTTGATAAACCCAAAACTAGATTTAGAAAAAGATGATCATGGCATACCCAACCAAGAGGGTGTGGCATCCACTGATTTATTTATGTAACATAGACAATAGTGAAAATATCAGTATGCTGAAAAGCTGAAGACCAATAAGTTTGCAATACATTTAACTAAGCCTCCATAATCACATGCATTTTAAACTAAGTTCCAAAACTTACTAATTTTGCAACATCCATTGGCCGAATTGCGAGAGACTGAATGACCTTCACATCATTCACTTGTGCGGCATCCATGAATTCCATGGTTAACAACTTTGAGGTACTTAGAGTCCAATATACCCTGGGGGCATAAACATAATTTGCAATATGAGGAGATAGCTTCCGAAAGTTATCCATACATTTTACGCTGTTTTTAGCCTCAACCAAGAAATCTAGTTCCTGATAAACACCACTAAAGATTGTCAACATTTCCATCAAAAACTATGTGATAGCAGTGATGATAATCTAAACAAAAATTGTAGAAAGGAGTATAGTTTACCTTAGGTATACTTTCACGGACTTCATCAACCAACCACCTATATAAAATCAGGGAAATTGCTCAGCTGTAGGTGCAATGAAGGTACATATTATTGGGAATCTTCCCAGTTTCTTCTGAAGCTAAGCTTTCTTTTTTAACTATTAATTTAACATATTTATGGAACATGAGAAGGGTGAAAATCAAACATAAATTTAAACAATTGCATAAGTCTTCTCATGTTCTCATTACTCATATGGTGACAAGAAAAGGTTTCAATCCACCAATTTTCTTGAATGAGTTTCACAAAGAATATTCCTCTTCAAACCTGTAATCAAAATTGGGGAAAAAACGATGCAATGTGTTCACAATTAATGCCACAGTTGCATAATCAGCAGCAGCAGTGCCTGTCATGTGCGTATGTTGAACCTGCAGTTCATGAATTAAGAGAATAAAAATAAAAAGTTTTCCGGAATACTTGCTTATGAAACCACTATAGTGCAGTGAAACATTTTTAAACCTTCACAGCAACTTTTTCCCCATCATGTGTGCGGGCAACATGGACTTGAGCAAGAGAAGCGCTTGCAATTGGGACCGGATCAAACTCCTTAAATATCTATATCAAAATGAAATCAGTTCAAGAAATCCATGCATGAAGAATATCTTAACACTTTTATTGAAAGCATCACAGTTCACTGTTCACATGTCATTTAGTAATATCATTTTGAAGAGAAGTTAATGAATGTATACTTCATCTGGTCTTCCTCCAAGTTCTTTCCTGACAACTTCACATACTTGATCATAAGACGATTGAGGACATCTGTTTAGCATGGAATCCCTCATTATGCGAACATATTCATCAGGTACTAAGTACTCCTGAAAAATACATAGATATAATTTAGATCCATTAACATAACAATTATGTTGGCTAATATACCTTATATACGCAATCACAAGTTGATTGAGATTCTGTGTATGTCATCATAAAATGAAGCACAACCACAATCCAATCCAACTTTGTATTTACCTAAAAAGGGAGGAGTAGCATACCAGCTGACCAAGATGTTGACCAAGTTTTATATAAATTCCTCCATTTTTAAAACAAAGTTCTTCAAGTCTGCGTGCACTTCTCAAATGAACTTCATGCTTGACTTTTTGTCTTTCCGCACTACCTTCAGGTAGTCCCCAGAGCGAATACTCATAATCTGATAGCAGGTCAAGAGTTTTAACTTCAATTTAAACCGAGATTTGATCTTTAAGATGAGATTTAACTCCAACAACATAGTTTCCAAATGATGATAAAAAATATGTAAAAAAATGAAATTGAAGATTTAGCTTTTGTGATGAAATTGAACTCCATAACTATAGTTGTCTAATGATGATATAGAAGCACAAGAACCATTCGAGCTGCTGTCTAATTATGGTTCTTATGGAGCTACATTGTAACAAATCTTCTTTTTATGCAGCATTGCTTCTATGATCTTAGGAGCAAACATGAACATTCCTCTTGAGAAGGATTTGACCTTTTGAAAAAAATGGTCTTCGGAGCTCAGAGCACCATTCTAATTTCCTGCTGTATTCCATGATGGCAAATTAAGCATAACCGTAATTATGTTGTTAAAATAGTAAAATCCTAAACACGAAACCAGCTTCAATTGTCCTTAATCGCTTCATTTAGTCAGGAATTTCCTTAGTCCTTTTTATATTAGGCCGTTTCAATGTATACCTAAGAATCGTTGCAATTAGGGAAACAAGATGGTTCAGAGATAAGAGTTCTGAAATCCGAACTTACCTAGAGCTATGGCAGCCGCGGTGACGGAATCGCGAAAGAGGCGACGCGGGACAGTGGCGCAAAGCCTGAGTGCGGTGGCAGGGTCGTCGGAATTGGCAATAGCCGCGGCAGCAGCTCCGCCACCAAGGACGGTGGATCCAAACAACAGCTTCTTCTGTGCGCGCCAGAGAAACCGCGCAGCCATGACCTCTTTCCCAAGTCAGAGGTTGAAAGTGGGCCGCGCCGGCGAATTTTTATCCTGCTGAATTAGGCGCGTCTTATTACTGTGCTTTATTACAGTGGTACCTACGATAAGTACCATTATTTTAAAAAAATAATTCCGTGCTGTAAATTTGCAACTTTTACATTCTGGCCAGATCATGAAGAAGAGTTAAAAGTCAAAATTAGACAATATGTTATGACGAGATTTGATGAGAATTATGAAAGTAAAAAATGTATTATAAAGTTTAAAAGAGGCGTAATAAAAAGTGGGATGTGTCACGGTGTGAGTAATAAGTAGAAATATATATAGATTATTTTAATTAGTCAAAGTTAATATTCCCTCCGTCCTAATTTATAGTCTCTGTTTCGGTTTACGATGTTTGATTGAAATTATTTTCAAATTATTTTATATGATAAATGGTATAGCGTTAAAAAATAAAAATTATATATTAAAATACTATATCAAAAGATCTACAAAAATAGTAGTGACAATAGTACTTTATTTTATCAAATTACTAACAAAAATAGAGAAAGAAAGCGAATGAAATTTGACCATGTAAATAGTAAACAAGCACTATAAATTGAGACGGAAGAAGTATATGTTAATTTTTTATTGACTAAAAATTAAAAAAAGTAGCATTTGACCGTGATGGCCATCACGAATAAGGGGGCAATGCCCCGTCATGTGGGTGGCATAAGATAGAGGACGTGAGGCATATCCGGTCATGAGTTCTACAACACATAATCCAAAATTATTAAAAGTTATATTTTGATACGAATGCAATTTTTTAAAATAAAGAATTACTTTATTAAATCAAAAGCAATAGAGGTTCTAAGAAACTGAAGTGGAATGATAGCTATTCTACGGGATCAGACATAAAACCAACTTCTCTAGTCACGAGAGAAGCAAAATGATTTGCAAATCTCTTAACAAAATTAAAGGTCAAGCTATTAAAGCATAACACAACTTCATTAATATCAGAAATAATGAAACCAAAAAAGAATTAAATTGTTCAGACTCAAGAGCAAATTACCTACTGTGCATCAGTCTCAATATCAACGTTGTAAAATTTAGCTCGTTGAACCAACTCATAGCTTCTCTAATGATCATAGCATCTGCCTCCTTGGGACTGGAATCTGCTAGACCACGGTGTTGCTTTAGCCGTAACGAACTTACCCAAGCAATCACGAAGGATACAACCAAAGCCCATATCAGAATCACCAAGAGGGAGGAATGCACTCGTGTTTAATTTGAACCGCCCCACACCAGGGCGCAACCAACATACCGTCTCGCCGTTACCCACGTTCTGACATCACACTTCGGGGCTGTTTGTTTCAGCTTCTTAATGGTTCAGATGTCTGAATGGTTCAGCACTTAATGGTTCAGACTGTTTGTTTCAGCCTCTTAATGGTTCATATGTCTGAATGGTTAAGAGATTTGCCTCTGAATGATTAAGTATTATACAGAGTCTGAATGGTTAAGACCTCTTACCTGAATTGATCAGACATTTGCCTCTGAATAGTTAAGCAATATACTAGCTCTTAATGGTTCAGACCTCTTACTGATTCAACACTTAATGGTTCAGGCCTCTTACTGGTTCAGCACTTACCTATTCAGAAGTTGCCAAACAGCCCCTTCTTTACAAGCAACACTCTGTCAGTTACTAAGAAAAGAAACGCAAGCTTTAATGATTTTAGGAGATGATGTCTCTATGTCTCGCTAGCAAATGTTATTCCTGTTATTCCAAGCAATCCAAGAGGGATTGATTCATTTAGAACACTTAATCCAATTGTATATTTTACTCCGTAGTATTTTTGTAGTATTTCATTTTTATGCAAAATACAAAGGCTGACATAAATTTAAATACTTCAAAAATAAATGTTCATTCAGAGACACATTTTCACAAATTCCACTATCCAGCTTTTTGTTAAAGCTACTCCTAAACCTAGACTCAGATTTCATACTCCAATCAAAATTAAGGCAAAAAAGAGACCCTACAACTCTAATATTTCTTCTTCTTCTTCTTCTTCTTCTTCTTGAAAAACAGATGATTCTCCTTTAAGATATTGTTGGTCCATGAAGAAGATGATGAAACCCCATGTAAACAGCCAGCCATTTCCCACCAGCAATAGAGCTCCATAACTTGCACAGGTTGCCCATTCCTGCAGAATTCACAAACATTTGCAGATAAATTTAATTGATTTTCACACATAAGACTATTATATTTACTTGAGTTCGGACATCGAGATTTGAGAGAAATTAGAACACTTTTGATGATGTTTGATGAAAAAGCCTAAACATGGTTTGGATTTGAGATTTCACCTACCATGGCTTTTTTTTGGCCAAGAACTAAACCATGCACGAATAATGGCTCCATGGGCAGGAAAGCAGACCATATAATCTGTGTTTTTAGGTGCCCTACACAAAACCCAGTAACATTGTGTTTTTAGCTTGGCTCCATGCCCATACTAGGATGTAGGGTACCATATAATAAGGGTATGTTTGGGACTTCGTTTTTGATGGTTTCGGAGGGGAAGAATTAATTTTTTTTTTATTTCTAAGAGTATAAATTTAGTACTCCGTAGATAATATTATTCGTTTTTAAAACTTACCAACTGAAAGAAAATTTCGTCTTAAATGTGAAATAACCCCTCTCCACCCACCCACCCACCCCCCACGCATCCCCCGAAAACCATTCCAAAACTCAACTCCCAAACATATCCTAATACATGCAAAAACTTACTTCTTTTGAGCATATATACGGTGCCAATCAGACCACGACGAACCAAAAACAGAAGCTGTTGGAACAAACAGTCTGCAATAAGCATTTACATCTTTGTGCTCGTTGGAAAAATAAAGCCAAACAAGGCTTTATTTGAATATTTTGGAATTACTTACAGTGTAAGACTGACATAAGAAGAGACCAATACAAACAAAGTCATGCAGAGGTGCCTGTTTATACGATGAAGACCAAGTTAAATATTAAATTAACAAAACCAAAAAAAAATTATCAAGTCATAAGTTCGAAAAGAAAAGGGTTGTTAGGAGCCATTGAATTTTGTTTATTTTTTTGGTGCTTTTACAAGTTGTAAACGTACCTAAACGTTAAGGGCATGTTTGGTTTGAGTAAATGAGAGGAAAAATACGAGCTTTCCTAAGAATATTTACCGGATACCTCACACTATGCGGCAATGCGCTTGCGCTGTTCTGGTGATTTCTCCGGCCTTTCCATATCATTATCATCATTATTATCCTTCTTGGTCTTTGGTTAGGGCCGGAAAGAACTAAGGCCGAAGGTCGTTCGAAATCAGTCTCTGAGAGGGTCGTTGAGTCGTTGTGGACGACGGTATCGGAGTCGGAAGACTTTCAACGGAAATGTCCCTCGCTCAAAGTGATTAGATAGCCACATATAAGTGGACAGCACTTGGTGTCTGGTCTCTAGATCCAACAGCTCGGAATCGTTTCGGGCGGAGGTTTTGGGCATCCCCATTGATATATTCACAGGCAGGCTTTGGGCGTACGAAGATGCAAACCTTAACAAGTGGTACATTGCTTTTGGGTCTCGGATGTTGACCGGAGCAAAACAGAAGTTGAAACGGTCTTCTAGGGACAATCCGGAGACTTTCTCCAACATATTTGCTATTCTCTTTATGTGGCTATGGTTGCACAGGAAATACAAACTGTCTAAACGGCAATTCCCTCCGAATTTTTCAAGAAGTTCCGGGAAGGTGGAGTTCGGAAGCTGCCCGGCAAACAGTTCGACCTGTTCAAAGAATGGAAATAGCCCGACTTTCTTGACGTCATCAAATGGTTTTTTCAAACACTCAATCAAATATTCCAAATCATCCAATTGCAGAGTGGTGGTCAGTCCTTCTGGAAACCGGCTCCCCCTCCGGCCCGCTCTCCCGGCAATCTGCTTGACCTGTGATGCCGGAACGGGGACGATTTTGTCCCCGTTATATTTTGAAAGACTGTAAAAAACAACCCTTCTGATATTCAGATTCAATCCCATCCCCACTGCATCACTAGCCACCAGAACATCGTATTCGTTCTCCGGGTCATTAAACAATGCCGCCTGATGCCGCCTGGTTTCAGGCGGCAATGCTCCGTAAATAACACAACAACGGTGTTCCGTGAGCTTCTCAATTGCCAGTTTAACTTCAAATATCTCTCTTCGTGAAAAAGCAACAACACAATCTCCAGATCTCACGTTTTTCAAATCACCCATGAGAGTCTTTGCTTCAACCACTAATGGCTTGAACCGGTCGTAATTTTTCTCCACCAAATCATCTCCTGTCTCGCAACATATTTTCCTAACAATGTTCAAAACACTCGGATCGCCGCATAAATGTATCTCATCGGCCTTTACCCCAAGCAAAGCCCGTGTCCAGGCATATCCCCTACAAGGATCAGACATCATTTGAATCTCGTCAATAACAGCCACATCATATAACTCATCTGTAGAAACCATCTCAACCGTACAAGCGACATGATTAGAGAAGGGTACAGATTTCTTCTCTTGTCCGGTCATAAGGCTACAGTAAACCCCTAAAGAGTTAACCTTGTCAAAAACCTCCATGGCTAACAACCTCAGTGGACTACAATATATTCCCTTCTTTGCTTCCATGAATCTCTGCAATGCGTTGTACGTTTTTCCGCTGTTGGTGGGCCCACAGTGATATATGATCTTGCGTTTCATTGCCCTGGCGAAAGGGAACCAAGTGTGTGGTTTTGTTAGATCTGCTGACTCAATCATTGACCTAAATCTTTTGATTTCATCTGGGAATTCCTCAAAGCAGAATTCAACAAAAATTGGGAACAAGAATTTCTCGGACTCATGTGAAGGGCCGAGGGATACTAAATACTTGACAAGATCAGTGTTAGAGTTCATGAAGAAGAATTTACTGAATTTAATAACTGCAGTGGGGAAAAATGAAGCCCCAATATAAATAGCCAATGCCTGATTTGATGCCCATCCGGATTTAGCAAAGCTCCTGAAAATCTCATTACAAGCATCCCAATCTGCTCTGGTTTTCTTGATGCTCTTCTTAGAACCCCTTAGCTCTCCGTAAATCTCTACCGGATCACGACCCGAAAAATCAAGTACATTCTCAGACACACTTTTCAAGCTGTCAGCTTCCAAATAACAAGGTTCATCGCCCATGGATTCCACTGAAGTTGAACAAGACCCGCCATTTTCAACCTTGGTCGAATACGGGTACCCACCAGAACATAAAGCTCCACACTTTGTGAAATGTGGGGAACGGGTCGGAAAGAACAGAAGCGGGTGAAGCAACCCGGGCTTGCCGGAGGGGTAATCTTGGAATTTAATTGGTTCTGGGAATTGGGCACGGTGGAAGCGGGTTGAGGATGAGAGGAATCTGAACCTATGTGAGCTTTTCGATGATGAGGACGATGAACACAGATAAAAGAAGAGTCTTTTCACAGGGCCTCTTGCCATCTAAGTTTCACCCAAAGAAATTTATAAAAAAAAAAAAAAACTTTTACAGATTGTATCTAATTTGTGGATAATTTAAACAAGATATAATTTCTGATTGAGAATATTTACGCAGCAGCCGCGAAGAGATACCTCGAAAATCTTTGAAGACAGGGCGCAATTTAAGCAGCCGCGGCGAATATGAAGATGGGGACGGTAAGGGATTGAAGAACTTTACGAGCAGAAGATGGCCGGCCTTCAATGGCGAAAGCCACGAACCCCAGAATCAAAATTGAACCCTAGCTCTGAAATATTAAATCCAGCCCAACCTTCCAGGGGTGAACGAAGGCAAATTCATGTTTTTTTAGTCTTTTTACTCTCTCTTATTTTTCTCAGTCCTACGTTCGAGCCGTTCGTAGGGGAGAACGAAGCACGGATGGCGGTTAGGGTTTCGGTCTGGTAGAAGCTTCACACCCGCCCATCTAGTAATTCTATTTTTTTAAGCCCTCAATCTAATTTGAATTTTTGAAATTCTGATTTATTTTGTCTGATTTTATTAGATTTGATATGATTGAATTTGATCTGATTAAATTAGATATGGTATAATTAAATTTAAATTTGATTTAAACTCAACTTAAAATTATTACTCTAAATTTAATAATTTTAAAGTATTACAATACATATTATTAATATATTTAAACATTTATTTAAAATATTTAAATATATTTTCAATATGACTACTTTTTAAAATAGTGAAATAGTGTATTATTAGATAACATGACATTTTTAAGTTTAAATACCCGAGTCTTTATAAGTATAAACTTGTTTATGGTTTTAAAAATTAAGTTTTGAATGATTCTTTTATGAACAAATATTTTTCTATAAAGTATTCTAAAGAAGCTTTTTAAAGTACAAAAAAATTACTTTTTTAAGTCCTAACATTATTTCCATGTATCATTAATATTAGTATTTCCGTAACATTGTTTAAAATTTAAAATTTATTATTATGGAACTAATATGGAAAGACAATATTACTATTTAATTAGTTTTTTATTTATTATTCAAAACGGAAGAAAATAATATGAAATATAATTGGAAAGACCATATTTCATTTATTATTGAAAACGGAAGGTAATTGTGAAGTTTAATTAGCAAGTAAAAAATTGGTATTATAATAAAATATTAAACAGAAAATATAAAAAATGGTAAATGGCATGTGAAAATATAAAAATGGTGATTATAAATTTTTCATAATATAAATACACTCATTTGTAAACCGTTCGTAATCGGTTTATTCATCGTGTGTTTTTATTTCGTTCGTTTCAAATCCGTTGTTCCTATGAAACATGGAGATCTTAACCGTTTTGAGAAATGTCGATGAGAGGTCATCTCTCTTGATGATGAAACTGAGAGCGATACAAGTGTATCACACCCATGCCCATGCTCAGAGGCCCGAATAACTAGATGTTATTTTTCACGACTCAGATGTTGGTTCTTCATTAATATAAATCTTAAATATACGTAGTAAATCTTCAAAATTTTACTTCGCATATGTAAACATTTCCATTTATTGTTAGGGCGATCGAATGCATGCTCATATTAGAGATTCAAATATACGCACCTTCGAAGAAGTTTTGGAAGAGCATGTTTGAGAATAACGTTAGCGATTAACATTAGCGTTTTAAAAAAGGCTATATATATACGGGCAGCGTTTTCAAAGTAATCTGCACCGTTAAAGTTTTATCCAAAACGCTGACACTAATCTTTAACGCTATTCTCGAACAGGCCCGAAGAAAATACTGTTTATTTAGTGATGAGAGTCAAGGTCTTGCGCAATTTCCGAAGTATAAAAACTATGAATCATCATTGCATGCTGGAATTTGTTGGCAAGACCAAGATTCAAAAGCTCTCAAAAAATGAATTTCCCAATTTCCGGTACAACTTTAGGAGTTTTGGCGACACTGTTCTTTTACGCTGTGTTTGGTTGGAGGTAAGTAGGTAGGGTGAGGTGAGATTTAGGAGTTATCTTGTTTGGGAAATCAAATAGAGGAAGGTAGCTGGAGGCAATGTTCTGAAAATCGGACCGGACATCGACTCGGACAAAGCACTGGGTCAAGAGTTAACCGGTTGAATCGGGGTTAACTCGGGTCAACGACTCGGTCAAACTATAATTAAAATATTAATATTTTATATTATACCATTAGATATTTTTAGTTAAAAAAGTATTTAGCTTGTGTTTTATGAAGAGGTAGATCAAAATTATAGTAACATATATAAAATTAAATGTTAAAGATAAAAAAAGATAATGAAAATAATAATAATTTTTAATTATTTGAATGTCTAACACACACTTAAATTATAAGGTAATACTTATATTTTTTAAAAATAAAAAAAAGATAATAAATTCTTATTTTAGTTGATTAAAATGATTTTAATTAAAAATTTAAAGATTGAAAAATTTATATTTTAGTTGATTAAAATGATTGAAAATATAAAAAATCAATATATTAAATTATAATTAATAATTTAAAGATAAAAGATAATACATTAAGTATAGATTATTTATAGTTTTCTTAAGATAAAAAATAATTTATACTAATTATATTTAAGTTTGAACTACTTTAAAAATCAACAATATAACTATATTATATAAACATAGTTCTTTTTTAAGAAATTTGAAGTTTTTTTTAAAAATACTCTCTAAATAGTTTAAGAAGGTAATATATACCACAATGCATGGCATGGTCAACTAAAGCTGTAGCAGCTCATTTGGTTTGGAGCTCATTTCCCCAGCCTTGGTGGCAGGTTCGAACCCTGCCTTGGAAATTTTTAATCAAATTTAAAGCATTTTGATCGGAAACCGGGAACCGGATGGGCTGACCCGGTTCGCCGGTTTTTCCAGTTTTGAACGGGTCAATGCAAGGGCGGGTTTTGATGTTGAACCGGACCGGATTGATGTCCGGTTCACGGTTGGACCGGCCGGTCCTGTCCGGTTTTAATAACATTGGCTGGAGGTAGACTAGCCTCTTAACAGTGCAAAAACCCGCCCGCCTATTCAGCGGTAACTCAAGGTAAGTTTTGCGTTTCCCTTCTCTGTCCTCTTTCTTCTTCTTCTTCTTTTTTAGCGACTATTTCTTCTCGGATTTCTCGGATTTGCGACTGTTTCTTCTTCTCGGATCTGATCTCATCCAGGCCTTCAAACCCTATTGATTGTCGACGGCTTTCTTCCTGAGTTCCTGGTCGATTTTGCTTTCTTTCTCCGATCCCCACTTCCGATTTGATTTTGCTTTCTCCCCACTTCTTCAAAGTTCAAACCCTTTCAACTTTTTTCATATTTTTTGCTACGGGTATATTTTTTTCTTTTTTATTTTCCTGTTTTTTAATCATTGGAATTGAAATATCATGCTTTGACTTTTTCCCCTTGTTTTTCTTTTTGGGTTTTTTGCAGTTTTCCCGTTTTTTGTTTTATTTTTTGCAATTTTTTTTTAATTTTTTGAGTAAAAAAATAAGGGCATATAAGTAAATTTGTTATTCTGCCTACCTCACATTACCTAATAAACATCCAAACACAATTTTTTAACTTGTTACCTTACGTTACCTACCTTCAATTACCTACCATTACCTACCTAATAAAACTTTTACCTACCTCCAACCAAACATACCCTTAGTTGGTAAACGTCATTTACCTATTCATTACTCAAATAATTACGCATATCTATATTATGTTTATTTAATTTTTGACTCTATATTCTCTAATTTTTGAAGATTCTGATACACAACTGATACACAACGAAAACAATGTTTTCACAAATTGTACAAATAATGTAATATATAAAGAAGTCTTTCAAAATTTGTAAAGCAGCGATGTTTTGTACCATAAAATAATATAATCTCTATATTCTATTACATCTCATTTTTTAGCATTGAAAAATAATCGTAATTTAATGACGTAAAAATAATTCGTGGAACGCGCGGATGTGATACTAGTTTTTTTTGAAACAATACTAAGTTGTTGATATTTGAATGAAAAACAAAATTATTTTGAGATAATTTTAAATATTTTATGGGCATAGTTTGTTTTTAATAGGGGTAGGGGGGGGGGGGGGGGGG